CTTGTACATGCAATTACTAAGGAAGAGTGAAGACGGGTATAGCTGACCTAGATTTTTATTTAGTAGATGTGATTTCACTAATTTCTCCACAGCTTTGATGATTCTCATGAAAGAATATGTTAGAATAAATTACTCCCCTAAAATAGAGTCCCTGCTGCTACCCATGCTGCATGCAAATTAAGCTGTTTAAATACTTGTCCTCCAGATTTCAGATATACGCTTCTGCACACACTGACACACAATTCCACACTAGATAAGTCCTTCCCAATCTATTTTCTGAATTCCTGTTGTAATTGCCACTTTCAAATTTAGGGCAAGCATTTATGACACAAAATTACTTTACTTTTTATATCCCGAAGTTATAAAAGCTACAGCTAAATACAGTCACCTACATCCATATTTAGACATCTGAAGACAAATGGATAAAGTTTTCAAAGCACGCCACTGCCTAGGTCTCTGCAAGCCCAAGGGCACTTAAGGTCACCAGGATCTTTGCGAAAAATGTCACTACGTTCAACGCTGAACAGTGAATTCAGCCCCTCGCTGGAAACAACCAAATTGGAAGATGATCCCTTGCCAGGGCACAATCAGTAATTAATAACACTTGGAGAGTTCAGAAATGCGAAATTTCTACCATGCACCTCTAAAACAGAGCAAAAGAAACACCAACAAACTTTGCTTTCGGATAACCTCCTCCCGCATTGTCGTTCATATGGCACACAGAATAAAGGGGTTAAACAAAATCGAGAAGTTAAATACCCAAAAAACATGTTCCCAACCGTGCTAAGCACCACTTTAAAAAGAAAAGAGTACAAACGGGGCCAAGGGAAAATTCCCCACTTCTACAAACACACAGTCTTTAATTTTACAGTGACACTCAGACCCTTCCCCCACCTCCATCAAGACGAGCCAAAGGTTTCACCTGCCACCTCCCAGGAGGTGATGGTGACACACATTGCCTGAAGCCACCTTCTCAGGTGGAAGGGCAGACAGAGAACAGCCACCTAGCCTGGATATTACAGACCTTTGCACTTAGCAGACAGGACAGTAAGAAACACCCATCTCTTACCCCATCGCAGGGACTCGCTAAGGTGCTGGTCACCTGCTCATAGGCAGCCATGGTCTCCGCAGTGCTAGAATGGCTGAAAGGTTTTACAAAGAGGAAATCACTCTGGTCAGACATGGGCGAGAAACAAGAGGTGTAATTCTGTGCCTGGGAGGTCAAGCCTGCTCCTCCCACATCCAGGTACTTGATGAAGCCATCTGGCTTCATCTGCCCATGGAAATGGGAGGTGGGCTTGCGGCCAGTCCCTCGGCAGCAACCTGCAAATGTCCAGCTGGCAGCGCCAGCTTTGAGACACCGGGCAGCCACCACAGCAAACATCACGCAGGACACGAGGGAAATAGACACCAAGGAGATGATGAGGTAAAGCGTTAGGCTGGTATCCTTGGGAGAAGATTTGGGGAGGTCCAAGGACTTGGCAAAGTCCTGCACGCTGTTTTCCTCTGGAGAAATGACTATTACTACGGAGGCTGAGAGGGATGGTGTCCCATTGTCCCTCACTTCGACCACCAGCCTGTGGGGATCTTCTGACTCTCTGAGAGCCTGTGCAACCCTTATCTCTCCAGAGCGGCGTTCCACTTGAAAAGGCAAAGCCTCAGCAGTGTCCTGCAGCTGGTAGGACAGCCAGGCATTATGGCCACTATCAGCATCAACAGCTACAATTTTGGTGACCAGATAGCCAGGTTCTGCCAAGGCTGGGATGGTTTGGTGGAAGGCAGAGCCCTTGGGGATGGACGGGTAGACAATGGTGGGGGCATTGTCGTTCTCATCCATGACAAACACATGGACCACAGCAGTACTACTCAGGGCAGGAGACCCAGCATCCTTCACCTCCACGGGCACCTGGAACACCTTATCCTGCTCATAGTCCAGAGCTCTGACGGTGTAGATGGTGCCATTGTCCTGGTCTATTCGGAAGTAGGTTGACACAGGTACATCCTGTATCCTGTTGTCCAGGATGGAGTAAGACAGCTTGGCGTTGCTACCCTCATCAGGATCAGATGCTGACACTGAAAAGACAGAAGTTCCTGGAAGGGAGTTTTCCTGAACGTGAGCTGTATCGAAAGGGCTGGAGAAATTTGGTGCATTATCATTCACGTCAGCAATTCGGAGGTAAAAGGTTTTCTGCGTGGTCCTCTGTGGGGACCCTGAATCCACAGCCCTCACAGTGATGTTGTATCCACTGGCCTTCTCCCTATCAAGGGGACCATTCGTGACCAGAGAGAAATGCTCTTTAAAAGATGACACCAGTTTAAATGGGAGCTCTTTGGCTATCTGCAGGCGGACCTGCCCGTTGTCACCAGAATCGCTGTCCTTCACACCAATGAGGGCAATCACAGTTCCCGGGGTTGCATCTTCCTGCACTGGGCTAGAGAGAGAGGTCAGCATGATCTCTGGGCTGTTATCGTTGATATCAATTAATTCCACTCGCAGATGACAGTGTCCTTCCATGGCTGGGGATCCCTTGTCCCTGGCTCGAACCGCAATCTCATAAGCGCTGGATTCCTCATAATCCAGCGGGGCTTTGGTTCTGATCTCCCCTGTCCGGGGATCTAAGGAGAACAGCTTGGTGAATTTACCAGGTGCGTTATTGCTAATTTTGAAAGAATATTCCACATCCCCGTTGGGACCTTCATCCAGGTCAGTGACATTCAATTTGGTGACCAGAGTGCCCACCGGCACATTCTCCTCCAGATGTACCTTGGATATGGGTGGGTAGCAGACAGGAGGGTTGTCATTTGCATCCAGGACATGGATGGTAACCTTGGCAGTGCCAGATTTCACCAGATTCCCTCCGTCCAGGGCTGTCAGTGTTAGGTGATGAACAGCCACTTTCTCTCTGTCCAGTGCTTTTTCAAGTACGATCTCAGGCATTTTAACACCATCTCCTCTCATGTTGATACTCAGGGCAAAATGCTCACTGGGGCTGAGCTCGTAGGTGGAGATGGAGTTGGAGCCCATATCCGGGTCTTCTGCTACCTCCAAAGGCAGCCGAGTCCCAGGGTTGGCTACCTCAGTGATCTCCAAGACCACCTCCGGCTTGGGGAACTGGGGCGCGTTGTCATTCACATCAAGGACATCCACCTCAACACGGTGGAGCTGGAGGGGATTCTCCATGACGAGTTGGAGGTGCAGGCAGCACGTGGGGCTCTGCCCACAGAGTGCCTCCCGGTCCAGCCTGCTGTCGAGGAGCAGGACGCCTGCCACCAGGTCCACCTGAAAGTGCCGCTGCTCACCCTCGCTCACCAGGCGCAGGTTGCGGGCGACCAGGCTGCGCACCTCCACCCCGAGGTCCTTGGCCAGGTCGCCCACCGAGGAACCCGGCTCTCGGTCCTCGGGCACGGAGTAGCGGAGCTGGGCGCTGCTGGGAGCCGGCAGGCAGGACAGAGCTGCAAGCAGC